ATAATATTGCACCATGCGCCTCCGTCCTCGAGGAAATCGTCCTCTGCACGCCGGAGACTGGTCGTCGCTGGAGGCGTCAATAAGGACCACGTGCGGTACCGCGCTTCGGGCCGCCGTCGCTGCGACCCTGACGAAGAGACAATGGGATTTCGGCTCGGAGTCTTTCTTTCCTTCTCACCAACGCCTATGACTACCGTGCTCCCAACAGAAATACTCATCGACATCTTGGCGTACGCGATACCGGAACATCCACATGTCACTTCCATCCTCCAAGTGAATTCCATCTTTCTGGAACTCTCGAGAAGCATTCTGCACCATCGCCTGCGTTTTGGGAGTGTATCGCAAGTCGAGCGCTTTGCGAGAGCGTTCTCTGGCCCGTCTGCGTGTAGACTGGCATGCTCTCCCCGACATGTTACAGTGGTAGTGCCAGGAGACAGGTCAGATGGCATCTTCCCCGCACTGGACGAGGCGTTTGCACGCATCCTGGATGACCCCGTTGCGAAGCGTACCGAGCACGGAAAACTGGAGTTGGACCAGTTCCGGCTTATACTTCACTCCCACCAGGACGACCCACGGCCAGAGAGTGTGTATAACGCCCTCCAGCGCGTCGAGTACGTCGTTCTGCGCCACTTTACGGTACTAGCCCCGAGAGCTCACCTTTGGCACAGTCCAACTCACTTCTTGTGGACGGCGCCGGCTGCTCCGCACAGATATACCACTGCTGTATGTTCGTCTCGTTTTCCAGAGGGAGGACGCTCACCCATCACAGATAGTGGCCAAGTGTACCCCACATCTCTTTGCCGCAATATCGTCCTGGACGCGCCTGCGCGATCTAACCCTCACAAACATGGCATTCTTCCCTCCGACGGCGAAGAGTCCACAACCGCTGCCCATAACCCCTCATTTGGAGTCCTTCTATCTAGGACAAGTCGTTTTCCTTGCCGGCACGTCCATTGCAGCCTACTTGCTCAGTGGTTCGACGAAGACCCTGCAGACCATGACGTTGGTTGATGTCTTTGGCCAGAGCATTTGGGGACCCAGAGTCAACAAGGACCACGTCCTCTCTGCAGTCCCAGAGGATGCACGGGATGCCGTGGGAGAAATCTTGACAGTAGCCACAAAGACAGAAAGGATAATCGGAGGTGATCGCTACACCGAGTGGTAGTCCCATTGTTTCCTTTCATTTCACGTTTCTGGTGTCGGGGCAGAGGATAACGAGGGTCTGTGACCCGGGAGATTTACACTTTTAGAATGCTTGTTCGCGAGCGCGTATGTATCTTTATATCTGCGGAAATGTAAACTATGTATTTAGGAATGAAGGACGCTGCAGGCCACCACAGGGATGTCTGCATTCCAGAGAGCGGGTTATTACACCTAGTAAATGCCAGTTCCCGATGTCTTGCGAAAATACCCGGGAGAGTGGAATGCTTATTGTACAGTTTGTATGGTGCTCTGACGCCCGATGTGTAGCTACATACAACGCCGGTCAACGCTCGGTTTTCAAGTCGGTGAGCGTTCAAAAGTGCGTGCCAGGTACATGATCGCCCTCTGATCGTTAACGTTGTGATGTCACGGTCGAATGTGTACAACAAAATGACAAGAGCCATAATGCGCACGCCCGGCGCACCGACGCGCAGACTACTGTAGCCGATGTCGCTCTTCACTCTCATACCACCATCATGGCACGACTACTGGCGCGCGTCGCAGCTCTGGTTCTCCACGTCGCCGCCCCTACGGCTATGTGGCTTGCATTCAAGTCACCTTTAGATATACACCATACACTGGGCAGCGGATACGGGGGAATGTCGATATTTCTCACCATCCACGCGTGAGCCCGCTAACCAGGAAATCATCCTCATCGCACTCATCGTCGCCCCCAGTCTCTTCGCTGCCATTTTCACCATGATATTTGGAGCGCTCTCGGACGTATTCCCTCGAGTTACCGGTATGCACCCTCAAATGCGGCATCCACGCACTTCCCAGGCTTATTCAATGGGCAGCGCTGCGTTCTTTCAAACGGGGGCTCATGATGCTTGCCATGCCCGTAAGCTTTGAACGGCCTGGCCCGCCTCCTCGCTGACCAGACTATGACCAGCTGGGTGCCGTGGTGTCGACAATCTACTGGAGCCTGTTACTCTTCTTTCCTAACTTGATCATGCCGAATAATATGGCAGCAAGCGCGACAGAACCTAGCTCGATGGACGCCGCACCTTTCCGTATTCCTCTCAATATAGATCTTGGCCTGCATGCGCTACCCGGCACGGCTCTGGTTATCGACTTCTTCTTGTTCGAGGACAAGTACACCGCGAAAACCGTTCGCGAATACGCATTGCTGGTGGCCGTAGGTGCAACAATTGCCTATACGTCGTGGGAAGAGTACTGCTCGAGCATTAATGGATCACGTGAGTACGGAAGAATCTTCGCCTATTCGTATGTAGCTCACCAGTCACGGCTCACTTGCAGACCCGTATCCGTTCCTTAACGTCCCATTGCCCATTCGCCTGTGCATCTATGCGGGAGCTACAGGAATCGCCTACGGCTCGTTCCGTGTCCTTAATTGGCTGCATCGTTGATGCTTCATGCCGACAACCTGGCGAGCTCATTCATCATTAACATCTATAATGCACGGGCCGTAATATAAACGAAACGTCGAGTGTATGCGTACTGTGCCCAGCTGCCAGGATCCGCCCTAGGTCGAGCAAAGTTCTCCCACCAGGTGAACCCAGAAGAACAAGGGCCAACTGTCATGAGGACTATTCTAATGCATTTTGAGGCAAGTTCTGGCCGTTTATGTGAAGGGCATAGCTAGGTACTGCACTCGATTGTGCCGAAGTTCAAGTTGCAGGGATTCGTTGCCTACTCTAGATGCTACTTGCGAGTGATCCTGGTCTCTTTATGCTGGCTGCAATGGATGGCTGAGGCGAAGCGCAAGCTCACAAGCCCAGCAAGCGAATGTACTGCACGCGAAGATTGAGTAATACCTTCTTTGCTGATCATATCCTGTGATTGAATGATCTTGCATGTAACCGACGTTTTCCCCTTGAGTATGCCTGCTAACCTCTACTGCGTTAACTATTGCAAAGCTGACGGCTACGGCATTGTTATACGCCTCTTTTTCGGATTATCGTCTGTGCTTCTATGAGTAGACTGTTCGCTCTCGACGCATTTCACTCGACTTGGCATGGCAGTCACGGTATAAAAACCAGGTCATTCTCTGAAACCTCCAGCAATCCTTTCTACGGACATGTTCAACAAGGTCGCTCTCGTTATCAGTACCCTCTCTGCCTTTGCGTTTTCGCAACAGGTTGGCACCCTCACCTCCGAAACCCATCCACCCCTCTCTATCCAATCATGCGCCGCTGGTGGCTCTTGTACGACGGAGGTGAGCATTTCATCTTGTCCGCTTCCCTGCTGTGGGAATTCATCATTACGGTCAGTCACGCTCCGTGGCCCTTGACTCTAACTGGCGCTGGCTGCATGCGACCGGAAACTCGACCAACTGCTACGACGGAAACACCTGGAGCTCGTCCCTCTGCCCGGACCCCGCCACCTGCGCCAGTAACTGCGCGCTCGACGGTGCTGATTATTCCAGCACCTACGGGATCACCGCCAGCGGCAACGCTCTCACCCTCAAGTTTGTCACCAAGGGTCAATACTCGACTAACATCGGCTCGCGCGTCTACCTGATGCAAGACGAGAACAACTACAAAATGTTCACTCTCCTGAACAAGGAGTTCACTTTCGACGTCGATGTCTCCAACCTCCCCTGCGGTCTCAATGGCGCGCTGTACTTCGTCGAAATGCCGCAGGACGGCGGCAAGTCCAAGCACTCTACCAACAAGGCTGGCGCCAAGTACGGCACGGGCTACTGCGATGCCCAATGCCCCCACGACATCAAGTTTATCGACGGCGAGGCAAGTTCTCTCCCCGTGTCCATGAAGTCTATATTGACCGTAACTCTGCAGGCTAATGTGAACAACTGGGCCCCGTCTCCCAACGACACCAACGCTGGCACTGGGCAATACGGCACTTGCTGTTCTGAGATGGATGTTTGGGAGGCCAACAGTGTTTCCTCCGCATACACCCCTCACACCTGCACTGTCAACGGCCAGACGCGCTGCTCCGGTACTGACTGTGGTGATGGCGACAACCGCTACGGCGGTGTCTGCGACAAGGACGGCTGCGACTTCAACTCTTATCGCCAGGGCGACAAGACGTTCTACGGCCCTGGCTTCTCTGGCGTCGACACAAACAGCAAGTTCACTGTCGTCACCCAGTTCATCACCTCCAACGGCCAGGACTCCGGCACGCTCTCCGAAATCCGTCGCTTCTATGTTCAAAACGGCAAGACCGTTGCCAACTCGTATTCGACGTTCTCCGGCCTTTCGGATTACAACTCTATTTCGGAAGAATACTGCACGGCACAGAAGGAGTTGTTTGGCGACACAAACTCCTTCCAGGAGCGCGGCGGTCTGCCGACCATGGGCGATGCGTTGGGCCGCGGCATGGTGCTCGTCCTGTCCTTGTGGGACGACCACGCTGTCAACATGCTCTGGCTTGACAGGTAACACTGTTGTCCTCACCGTGAACAATCAAACTCATTGTGTTTGTTCCAGTGATTACCCCACGGACGGCGATGCCAGCAAGCCAGGTATTTCCCGCGGCACATGTTCGACGTCCTCTGGCAAACCAACCGATGTGGAGGCCAATTCGCCTAATGCTAGTGTCATTTACTCGAACATCAAATATGGTGCTCTCAACTCTACCTTTACGCAGTAAATTTTAGGCATTGTTGTGGAAATAGGGTGTTTGCATGATGGAGTATAGTAGCATTTGCAAACGACGTAGGGATTATTGAAACACGCACATCCACCACTCTTGTCCTGTATCGCTTGACCTTGAGCAGTCGACGGACTCCGCGCAAGTGTGACCATTCAGAGGCTCTGGAACTGCCACGAAAGGTCGAAAAAAATGTACAATCGCACCAATGCGTCAATATTAGCCCACCGCGAGGGTCGAACTCGCAGCCTTCAGATCTCGCTCGATGGATAAGAGTCTGACGCTCTATCCGATTGAGCTAGGCGGGCGCCTGATAATTGAGTGTCTGGGGCGGCCAGGTCGGGGCAGGGTCCCATGCAACCAGAAACTGATTCCATTCACAAATAAATACATTGGGTGCATGCGCAGAGACTGTAGAGTAGTAGAGGTCCAAGAGGGATGTCGTATCTGAAGAACCTTTTAGCATCTCGTTCGACAGCGAACACGCAAAACGTACCTAAGAATCCGTATCCTCGACCTCTTCGATCTGCACACGTCCAGGTGTTGATGGCCGCGATGCATCTGACTGTGGTGGGGTCGCTAGCGCACTTGTCTTCGCATCCTCCTTCACGCCCTTCTTTGTTCCCTTCTTGCCCTTCTTCTTCTTGGGGAGATCCCATTCCCAGAACGGAATAAACGATTCGATAAAGCCAACGTCGGCAAACAGATTGGGGAACACCCAAATTCCGGGGCTCGCCACGAGGACAGTGATAATGTAGAAGATGAGGCGCAGAATGGCAATGACGAAGAGGAGGCCCAGGAGGCCCAGCGCGCCAACGGAGAGGTACCACACACCCTGACGCATCACTGGTGGCCATAATGGGAAGCAAACGCCGGCGAGCATGACCACTACGAGCGCAACGCCACCGAGATAATTCGTCCATTGTGATCCTTCATAGAACCACGCGTAGTATTCGTCTGCCCCCCACAGCTGCTGGGGCACGACCTGTAGTGTCTTTGGAGATTTCGCAGACGTTCCCGAAGGGCCACCGCGCTGCACACGGATGAAGAAGGCAAACTGGTGGACCTGGCGAAGTAATGCATGGGCACCCTCTTCGTTTTCGACTTTTGGAACGCCCTTTTTCTTCGCGTACGCCGGAGTAAGGAGAGATTTGGCAGCGGATTTGCCTTTGAAGTAGTCCACGCGTTTCCCGTTCAGCGCGCCCGAACGCGGCTTGACATTGCCACGCAGGAAGTCAGCGACCTTTTTGATGTCGGCGGGTGCCTTTGCTTGTTGCTCCATTATTGTAGGATTATTCTAGCGGCGAGGGTATAGAGAAAGCCGAGGAAAAGACGGTGGTGATGGTTCGTGGGCAAACGTATGCGCACGCGTGTCACTTGCAGTGCCTCCCAATCCGGTGCGATCAGCCATGCACGTGGTCATCATCCACCTCCTACTCACCCTCAGGACTCTTGTTGAAGGATGGTCAGCACGGATGGACTGCGCGCGATATTAGCACTCTTTTGAATGATATCGAATATCCCCGATGTGAAAAGCTAACCACCTTGAAGTTGACCTCAGCTAGTACTCGGTCCAATTTCAATACATGCAGGACTTCCAACTTCATGCCACTTCAAGGATTTGAATCCATCCACCATAAGCGCCAGGATTGACATTGACATATCCTTTCCGCCAAAGCACATCCAGCGTATTAGCTGTGGTCGCCGAAACCCAGCTGAACATGGAATAAGTATGCATGCATCGACTCGAGTAAGTATTCTTCTACATGACATTCTGCTCGCTTCGAGCCGATTCAAATGCCAACATCTCGCCGCTAATCTCACCATTTACATTTTTCATTAGAACCACTATGCAACGCGAGTGTTGGTACCTGGAGCTGCTCTATAATTCATCCTTGAGTGCGATGAACATTTCACGACTAGTCAAAGCGTGTAATGTCGGCGTACAGCATACCAACAAATGCAGTGGCCGGCTGATAGCAAACCGACGCCGGAATACCGTAATTCCAAGAAACATATCTGTACACTGCGACGGAAATCGCTCTCATCTATTGTCAGATTGAATCCAGGCGTGGGACAGGGAAGTTTCGAAGAGTGGCACGGGGCATACTTCGTGTTTGCCTCGATTTATTGGATCTAGTTGTAAGTAAATGCATTGGCCGCTGGATTGCGCGGAGATTTCAAACCAGTTGCAGACTAGTTGAGAGCCAGTGGATGAGTTGTGCCTTCAATCATGGATGGATGTCACGACCGGGCCAGTGCGCGCTGTCCACCGGCGCTCTTGATCGATCAAACACGGCGACGGCTCAATTGCTTTGTTCTACGCCACCATGAGCCATACCACGCCGTGGTGGGATACCCACGCTACCCGGTGACAGCGTGGACTCCCCCAGCTAATTCTCTAATCTCCTTCTTGACTGAGAAGTCGCGTAATTAGCGAAAGCGAGCGCCTTTAACATCGAACTAGTGGAAAGTACATCTTTCCTACTCCGGACATCGCGGTCTTTGTACGAGTAGGGTCGCGGTGATTAGGTCCGGCGCTTATGCTGCCCAGACTCCATCCGGCAAGGGGCACATTCGCAGGCAGGCCACATAAAAGGCGTGGCCGCGCGTTTGAGGATTCCCCCTCGCCCACTCTTTCTTTCTTCAGTCGGCATGCACTTTGTCTCGGTCTTGTCCGTTCTGGCCGTGTGCTCCTTCGTCTCGGCCTTAAAGTTTCCTACCCCAACGACCAACACAAAGCGGGGCGATGGTGGCTTTCTCACCACAGACAGCGAGGGTAGCCTGACTCTTAACGGGGAGTGAGTGGCTCGGGTCTGCGATGTGAATTTTTTTTTACTGATTGGTCTGTAGGAAGTACCCGTACATTGCATTTGAGGCGCATTGGTTGGCGACACTCTTCAATGGTCGGTCTTGCGAAACCGCATCGCCAACACGAGGCTGAACACCCTCCCTTTATTAGAAAAGGACGTTGACAGTGTTCTCAAAGACTTGGCAAGCTTTGGAGTCACAAACGTTGTCGTCCCCGCGTACAACGGTATGCACCCCTCGATTTCCTTTCATTACAGACACCTCTGATGCGTATCACAAGTTGTGAACGAAAACAACAAGCCCGGAGATGACGAGGTTGATGCAACCTGGCTCCAGCTTGTGAACTCGGATGGAAGCATCACCGTGAACGAGGGCGAAAACGGTTTCAAACGTCTCGACAAGCTCGTCAGCATTGCCAAGACGCACAACATCCGCATCGATTTCACCCTGTCGCACAACTACGATCCCCGCGCCGTCGTGGCCACTTCAAGTACCTCCATTCACTTGTCCCTCCCAGTCATGCGCTAAACTTTGTTCTTCCTCCCAGGCAACCCTGGCACAGGCATCGTGGATGGCTTCAATACGACACGCCCCCGGAACTACTTGCGGAACGACTTTGGTATGTAAAATTAGTGAAACATACGTCGAGCGCTTTTTGAACAAGCATCAGGCGGCGTTGACTTTCTGAGCGCTAGCCTCGGTTCCAAAACTCATGATATTTTTACGAACGACAAGATCACCGCCAGCTACAAAGAAATCGTCAAGTGCATCGTCGAAAGATACAAGGACGAGACAACCGTCGGCTCTTGGTATGTGTTTTGTCCCGGATTTGTTTCTTCTCCGGCTTACCTTTATGTAGGACACCACTCAAGGACGCTCAGTGCGCAACTTTCTTTCTGCATGCATTTGCGCCTCTGACTATATGTTGAAAAGATGTGGCGGAACCCTCGACAAAGATCCTAGCTGCAGTACAACCGTCATTTCCCAATGGCACAACGACATCTCCGAATACATTGGGACACTCGACCCCAACCACATCGTTGTTGCAAGGTATGCGGTGTATTGCAGCCCTCGGCTAGGTGGTGGCTGATTTGATCCACTAGTTCGACAGGTTATGAATGCCCGGACTGTACCAAACTCTACAACGCACCACCGGCTCCCCAGCCATCGTCTGCGCCGGGCGCTACACGCCGCTCGCCCAAGAGCAGGAGCAAGGCCATCCTTGAGCGCCGTGAACGTGCGAAGCGCTCACGAGCTGAAGCTCGCAGGAACGAAATCCAGGCCGGGGATCGCAGCGGTGTTAAGATTCGTGGTCGATGGGTGTCCTCTGGAGGTATGTCGACTTGGATCATGAACATAGCCAGAAGCTGACGAGTTTTCGCAGTGACTGGCCGTCAATCTAACCAAGTCGTTCCCGGTATCACTGACGGCTCATCCGGCGTCGACAGCGTGGACTTGGGCAACTCTGCTGCTGGCGCGCTCATTTCGTCGTACTTGCCATTTGAACACGAGTATTTCGTGGACCAGGACAACACGGACATCGAGAACATTCGCAAGTTAGGCAATGAATGGATTCACAGGCAGGCAAGCATTCGTGACCAGCTCAAGTACGTCAATTTCTCCTCTCTGACACTGGTAATAATGCTGAGTGACTTCTAGCAAAGCGAAGCCCGTATACATCACCATGGGTCTCCCCGTGTCCAACTTCTCCGACTTCTTTGTCTATGGGAATAGCTCCGTTAATTACATCGATTCCCACACTGGGTTAGCGGCGCGCCAGCAGAATGTCATTGGTGTTCCCACGAGCAGCCGTGATAGCCTGCTCCAGACATGGTTTTCCACTGCCGCTGGTTCGAATGTGCACCTCGTCATCCAAGGTGCTGGCGCAAATGGCGTTTCCTCGTCCCCTGGAACGTCGTACAGCAACGACAACGACTCGACTTCGTCCAGCGACAACAGTGACAGCACGACATCTTCCCCCAACGATGGCTACAACATTGTCGCAAACGGGTATGTCGCTTGACTGTATTCATGGACAGAAACTCACCTTTCCTCTAGCAACTCAGACAGTGGTGCTCAGAACATCATCCGACAGGCCTCAATCAACCTCATTGGCTAGCTGCCGCACTGATGGTCTTACACGATACTTACAGACTTGCGACGAGAATCTACGGTAATCTTGTATGTTAACATGCATCGTATTGGACTGCGGTTGAACATTTTTGCTATTTATTATGGTACCTACTGTTCCGTGCTTGGGAGTAGACGATTGATGCAGCTACGAATTCTTACGGGGATGGCGTATGTACATCTCTAGGACTAATTTTTACGTTATGAAATGTACTTTCAATTTGCAGAACGATCTTTGGCTGTGGGGCTTGAGTCGGGTCACATGACTTGCGAGATCGCTTGCCTTCCTGCCTTCACGTTCCAACTTGAACTGTCAATATATGCCAGTTGTACGTTCTGTCGCCCTACAACCCCGCAAGGAGAATTC